ATATATATATATGTATACAAACATATCTGTTTATGTCTGCTTAGATTTTTTGTTTATACCTGATTTCGTATTTGCTGTTGGTATACATTTACACTGTGCATACTTCTATAGGGATCATAAGGGGACTGAATTTCCTCTGGTACGACTCCCCCATGCCCACCTGGCGAATCGCCGAGCTCAATGCCCAGGGCACGCCCAGTGTGGAAGAATTCCTTAGTCAGTCGGCCCCTTGGGGGGTTTAGGGTTTAGGGTGAAAGACCTGGCTCCCGCACCTAAATGCAAGCGATTCCGAAAATTGAGGCAATAATACAGGGGCCTTACCAATACTCTTTTGGGGGCTCCTTATGAAAGCTATAGTATAATGGGCCCCAAAACCCTATTCTAAGTATTAAGGCCCCTATGTTCGTTTCGACTCGGGCAAGGTGCGCAGGCGTTTAACGAGGGTCGAGCTTAAGGCCCTTGTTTCGGATTTCGGTTCTGGCGTCTGTGTTCCTGGTACTGAGACCCTTGGGCTTAGGAAGTAGGGCGTAGGGTTTAGGTTTCGGGTAAGAAGGGGTTTGGGTTCGGGGAAGTCAGCCTGCGAGCGTATATAGGACGTGCATAGCTTGTGGAACTCCTCTTATTGCTTGGGCATGTGCTCGTCGTAAAATGCTCCGTCGTAATCGATAGCTTCCGTTCTCAAACAGTCTTCTTTACCCCTTCACGGAACCCAAGGCTTATGTGCTCTACCTTCACGCCCGGAAGCTACAAACTGAAATCGGCCGAGCTGCTGAGTACCCCAAGGTCTTCCGGCAGAGAGGAGCTGCAGGAAGCCTGAGCCGTCAGCCTCCCGGCGAGGGCCCGAGTCGCCAGAAGCCATCTTTCGAGGGGCTCGAGGGGGCTGCAGAGCGTTGTCAGCCCGAACCCTTGATACCCTTTTTTAAGCCCAAACTCTGCCAATCAGCTGCTACCCTTAATACCCTAAACCCCAAACCCTTATAAGCCTAATGTAGGGGCCTTAATGATTAGAGTAGGGTTTTGGGGGGTTCCTCGTTTTGAATATAGTATACTATGCCCTAAAACCCTAAGCCCCAAATCCTTATAACCCTAAATCCTGATGAAGCCTCAATCCCTGAACCGCAGAACCTACTGACGTGGCACGCCTTGTACAGATACACGACTCCGTGCGGATTCTTCAACTTAAGACAATCCTCTTCATTTTTGTACAGGCTTCTAGAGTCTAGAGCATCAGGACTTCTCCAGGGGGGCCCACCTTGCTTTTTGCCTGCCACGACCCAAAACGGCTGCAGGAAGGATGCTAGCAGAGATTGGGGGGGCTCTTGGAGCCCGACGGCCGAAGCTCTAATACACCGGTGTCTCTGTATCTTAGGGGGGTGCCTTTCTAGGTCCCCAAAATAGTAAGGCACCGTCAACATAAAAGGACCCCAAAAGGGAAGCTAAGTTAGACAACTACCCACATGGAAAGGGCTTACTTAGGGTGTGGGGTTTAGGAACCCTA